TTACGCAAAGATTGAGAACTCTGAGTTGAATTCTGATCATGCTGACATCTCCATGAGGCTTGAACAGTATAGGGACTTGACAACTTTGATGAGGATAAAGAGATAACTTTAAATGAGATTTTCACAATTGGAGATGATGATGAGACAATCGTGGATAATACGCGGAGTGCACCTGAACCTTTATCATTCAAGAAGAATAAATAACAATTTTTAATTTCTCCAAACATGTGAAATTCAATAAAAACATGAAATAAACTTATTTGGATACATTTTATCCATTAAAGGTTCTCACCAGTATATTATATAATGAATCATAAGAACGTTACATACAGTCACAACTACAAGCTATAAATCCAAAACCCTTACCCCGCGAATCTCATGTATCGAAGAGATATGACTGCCTACACTAAGATCTTATTCTCCCAAGTAGACTCAAATCGCAACTGCACCCATTATAGTGATCGTCTGCAAAGATATTGATTTTCCGCACGCAAGGTGTTCCCTACATTTGGATGCCGTGCATCTCTTCACGTTGGATTTTATCGCGTTTGATTTAATAATATCTCGATCTATATGTATTATGCTCTGACTGAAAACAGTGAATTCTGTGCTTCCCACAAATCATGTTGTCTGGTGAAACTCATAAATGTGCCTCGATCAAAAAACGCTAGCAGACCGGATTGCAGACTGTATTCATTATTCGATCACTGGCATATTGAGGTGTACTGGATACCTTGAGTGTTTGATACCGTCCAAAGGGCGCAGGATCCAATCAACTGAACACTGGCTCGCAATGAATTGCGGTTTTCACACAGCAACCTCACCGATTTACGGGATCAGGGTTTTCAGTCAAAGGCTCCATTTGAGAAGTCCCCCGGAAAATTCACTTACCTTGACCTGGGCAAAAGAACATTAACACACCCACAAACAAAACTTGAAACCTTTTCTTTTAATCAAAAATATTGTAGCATGATTTATTTAACGCATAGTCTGGATTCATACGTGTGATATATACAAGCACCTTATCCCAAGATCGCTTTGCATTCATTATTGTATCTTCAAGGGTTTTATAAAGAAAATATTGGCTCGATCTACCTTACACTTCTCCAAACCGTTTGCGTATTGTCACTTCCGTTCTACTCCGAATGTTCTAGCTTCCTTTCGTCGTAATGTATTATCCTCCGGTAACTGGAGTTGCAAGTGCGTTGGAATCATTGTTGTCCGCTCGCAGAGCCTGGTAATTTGCTTAGAAATATTGTACCATCAACCATAATAACATTTTCCGTGTTGTTCCTTTGGCTGGTGATGAAACGTTCTCAAACAAACTGGTAGGCGGTAATGGCGGTGGACTCTGTTGCCGCGATTACGCCGGTGGACTAGGTCGTATATATAAACCAAAATTCCTCTCCATTGTGGCCATTCTTGCTCCCTATTCGCTTATTGCTTCTCTGTGTGATCATTTCTTAGGCAGCAAACGGTTGACGGGTTACTGTTGCTAGATTTCCTCTGTCCTGCCTTCCACAACATACAAATCTTTCTCCTTTCTTCTCTTCTATGGTAGTTTCCTTATCAAATGTGTAAATGACTTCATTTTCGCCTGACTGTTCCAACTTCTACGTGATTTAAAGTAATATTCCTTAGTGCCTAATGTCTATACATACTTGTCCTCTTACATACATACTACATACATACATGCATACATAACTAACCTTTTTCAGTTAAACATGTCAAGGTTTGTGAGACTTATTCTAGCAGAATCCTTACCGATCGCACACCCATATCACCACCACTCACATCCAACTTCTGCTCTTAAAGACTTGAACAAAGGGGCTTGCAATTGGACCTAACCGATCACACTAGAAATTGAGGTATACAAATTTTCAAGTGTATCCTAAATTGCCCATTTTCTTGTTAATCCTGGTCGATTTTTTATATTTTGAATCAAAACATGCAATCAATCTTTCGTATCTCCTAAAATTGCTGCTGTCAAGTGGTTTTACAATCACGGAATATTCACTTCATAATAAATGACATATTTAATTTGACTGAATTTGCATGAAAATTTACTATCCGAATTTGTAAATATATAAACTCAAAAACGAGCGTGAATAACTGAACGGAGTAAACTGGTGTACCATGTCGTGTTGGAACAACTCAAAGGCATGGAAATCGACGAATAAAAAACAAACTTTTTATGTTCCGATTTTCTCCATTATTCAGAACAATATGTAGTCAGTGATCTCGGAGATTGCGGAATGTCAGGTTGCAGGTCGTGAGAACAAAAACATCAAAATGGCCTTCATACTGTTGTAAAGATCGAGTACCTTCAACTGATAAGTGGCCGATGTGTCTATTTTGGTGTAAGAATAGTGATTAGAGCAAATAAATATCGGTCCATTCAGATATATTATTCGCTCATTTATGTCTACCATCAAACATCAAACACTACTTTTTACACTTTCATCTGTATTCCATTGCAGATATAATGACAACTTGGGTGGGGAATACCTGAAAAGCCGTTGAACCTTCCACTGTATCCAGATGAAGAAGACCCGTTTGATAAGGTAACGCTTGAATGTTTCTCATTCTCGCGGTCGAGTCCGTAATAGCAGATGCAACAGAGAACAGATTCACGGGCCGAAGAGACACTTGCGAGCTTTGAACAGAGAAATCTTTCTCCACTTCAGATTCGACAGCTGATCGGATAGATTCGGTTGCCCCAGCAGTTGGTATTGTTAGGAAGGAGTGACCACAACTGCTACATCGAAATAACGGCTGAAACAGAAAAATGGTGGTGTATCATGAGAACAGTCAATCATTTTTCGCTAAATGATAGCAAAATTCAGAATTATTCACTTAATTCATACCAAAAGCTGAGTTGTATAGTATATGCCAGATATTTCTACTATAACCAAAATTAGTAATATGTATTGTAAAATGAGAAAAAAACACCTAAAAGACGAGCTAAAGAAAATCTGTGACAGTACTTACTAAGCTACCAATGATGAATCAAAAAATAAGTATTTCTTTTTCCCAAACGCTCTATTTGTCAGACTGCAAAATCTAACGATTCAGCTGCCTTCATTTGTTGAAGAATTAGCCTGGGACGACTTAGTACGACTTCGAAATTGGCTGATCAACCCTGTTATTCACAAGTATGTTAAATTTAGACGCACATTATTTAGCACCACTTGTGTGTATCCATATCATGCCCACCGCATTGTTTGACGCCCATCATTACAGACCCGGTCATTTGTGCGTCCGTCTTCCTCAATCCTGCGGCGAAGCTGCGTCCACTTCCTAATTCTCGACCGTTAAGTAGTTTGATGTATAAAAAAATCCGGTTTTTTAAACAAAAGTCTACTTTTCACCAAGACTATATTTAGTATATTATACTGAGCCAACCATAAATAGAAAACATCGATCAATTTGGAATATTAAAATTCCCCACTTTCAATTGCGTAGTAGTTTTTGATAATTTAGCAAATTGACTAAGCCCGTCATTTGATCAGGGTAACGATTGTCCGATGTCATTCGTTCTGATGCAACATTTGATCGAATCATTTCTTTCATCAAATGCACCGTTGAATTTTCAGGAAAGAACATGGTTCCTATTTGTTTATATGATCAGATCAGAGAGCCTGCCGATATCACAACCAGGGGATTGTGCGGCGGTCCATATTGGCTCTCATCCTTCAGTGGAAGTGAATGAATCAGAACACTTTCACCGCAACCGCAGAAACCTATCACCAATGTACAGCTCTCGGTCATCTGAAACCATATTCACCGTAAGGGTGGCGGCGGCGCAGTGGTTCCTATGGTCCCAGGTTCGAGCTCCGCCACCTGACTTTAATAGTAGGCAGCTCTGCTTTCGTCCGGTCTTATACCACCCCTAAACTATCGGTACCTTATGTGGTTTGCCACTCCAAATCCTGGCTTAGGTTACCGGGAATCAGGATTTTTGGCCAACTTCCCTAGGTGAGCTACCAGTGGTCCACCAACCCGGTTATAGCCCAGGATGTCACTACGATAAGGCAGTGAGTATGGCTTCCTCAGCGGAGGCTATTTGAGACCCCATCAACTTGGACAGAGATGTTTCGATGGCTAAGGAATCATTCCAGCCATCACATGAGAGACGGGTGGAATCTGGCGATGGATAATGTCGATAGCAGACATTGCCAAACGCGGTGGAAGATCTATGAAATATCGAGCGAGACCAAATTAGTTTCTTCGTGGTTATCCAATGTAGTTGGTCATCCGTGGATCAACACAGGCGAAACCCATATTGACTGTTATTGACGGTCAGAGATGAAGGTTCCAAAAACTTCCAAAATAACAGAAGAGTGAGTGGTGGGACGATATTTGTTAGTTGGAAGGATTAATACGCTTGACAGTAGGGAAAGTACTAGCACTTCTCCATGGAGAGCAGAAATATTTGAGATCATGAAAAGGACAAAAAAGACGGTATAATAGGGGCCAACTCAGGGATACATATTTTAAGGACGATAGGTAGAATATCGTCAGGACCAGATGGCTTACAGACATTCAATCCACGAGGAATTTGGCGGATCTTTCTGAGAGAAGTAGAAAGAGGTGGCTCGATGTACGGGAAGAGAGTTGAAGAATGCGTTCGGCAAATAGGGTGAGGTGGAAGGCAAATCAGAAAGCGAAGAACTCTGCATTTTCAAGAACAAGAGAACTTAGAATGGGAGGAAAGTTGTAGGCGCAGAAACAACGTGAAACCGCTTTGACAAAGAACCCGAATATTTAGCTACCAGTGGCGAACGAAGCCAGGCGCTCTACCTTATGGTTAATGAAACCTTCTTAATCTCTCTGTATGGTGAGCGAGCAACCTTTTCTGGCTTACAGTAAGAGCTTTCGTGATATTGAGTTCGGGGATTGGCGCCAACTACGGGACGCTGAGTTTTCAAAACGTACAGCATGGTTGCAAGCATGAATAACCCACTCAGGATANTTGCCCGGTTTTGATCAAAGTAGAATATAAAGATAGGTGCCTTGAAGAGCACAACTCAGTGAAATTGGAATATACGTGGAAATATTAGATTTGAAACAATAGTTATTCTAAGGATAACAAGCCGGAAAGTAATGAAAACCGTCCCATTTGGCTGACTGTTACTCCCAAAAGGTGCGTTTGAAGTTAGGTAGTGAAACGAAGAGAGGGAGCCGAATGAGAAGGAAATGAGGCAATAGTACAATGGGCCAAGAGGATATAGGAAAGTGATACTGGAGAAAGAAAAGAGAATGGATGTAAANATATCACGAGTGTGAGGACGGTCAGCAATTAGATCGAGGATGAATGTGATGATGTCAACGAGTTGACTGAGGATGTTGATCACAGTCATAAGCAAAGTATCTGAGTAATATATCAACCATTCCTGGTTTTAGACCTCGAAATCTGCGACAGTTGTGATGTTACCATGTAGAAGGTTATTGCTGTCCGAGGAGGGGTATATGGTACAAAAATAGCGATAGAAAGAAGAAAACTCTATTTTCAACCACATAAACTGGAGTGCACGATTGGAGAAACCGAGGTGCGAAAGTTGGGAAGAAGTGACATAATATTCAATATAGGGGCAGACACCAACTTAAATGGTAAAATGGGTCGCACTGGACATCTGTTTTGATGTGGTTGGGTTCCATTA